CTCTCCAGCGCCAGGATCGGGTTTCAGACGTGAAGCGAAACCCAGAGGAAGGAAAACTAAAATATTGTCTTGATCGTCGTCATACACCGTGTTTTTTTGTGTGTGTTTCGTTTGAGTCAAAATTGCCGCAAAAGTGTGTTGTAATGGTCTGAATGCGGACAGCCACTTCTTCTGTCTCACTCTGGTCTCACTATGGTCTCTCTCTGGTCTCTCTCTCGTCTCTCTCTGGTCTCTCTCTGGTCTCACTCTGGTCTCACTCTGGTCTCACTTTTGTTTCTTTCTGGTCCCTTTCAGGACTCTGTTTGGTCTCTTTCTGGTCTCTCTTTGCTCTCTCTCTGGTCTCTCTCTGGTCTCTCTCAGTTCACGCTCTGGTCTCACTCTGGTCTCTCTCTGGTCTCTCTCAAGTCACACTGGTCTCACTCTGGTCTCTCTTTGGTCTCTCTCTGGTCTCTCTCAGCTCACGCTCTGGTCACTCTGGTCTCTCTCTGGTCTCACTCTGGTCTCACTCTGGTCTCTCTCTGGAGCTGGTGGAATTGAGCCTCAATACTGTTCCTCTTGTGACCAACTTAATGTAATTATGAAACCCAAACTTACGTACCCCAGCTTTATACATCCCACCTCTTCTTTCTCCAGTGAACACCACCCCTTTTCTGACACTTTCTCAGCTTGTTTAAAGATGACAAATTCCAGATCCAGACCCAGACCCAGACCCAGATCCTCTCAGAGCTCGTCTACCCCTCTCAGTATTTTGTCGCAGAGCTGTAAATGTATGGGCTCTTTAATCCGGCCACGGTCCAACTCCGGCTCGTAAATTGCTCTCGGTCCGGATGCTCTGTGGGTCTCGTGTCCGGGTTGTGTGTCCAGGTTGTGTGTGCTGGTTGTGTGTGCATGGTTGCGTGTCCGGGTTGTGTGTGCGCTGCTTCTCCCACGTTCTTCCTAAATGTGATTAGACATAAAGCATAAAGCAGCAGTCGTTAAGTGATGAACAGGAAATTACTGCGAAAAGAGAGAAATCAGTCCTTCTGCAGTAATGCTCCAGCAGAAAACATCTCCCTTAGACTGAGCTTTTAAGGGAGTTTGGCAGATGTATTAGTTTATATGTATAGCACAGTTCATACACAAGGAAAAAATAATCACAGTACATTAAAAAGAGTGAAGATGAAATCCTTCAGTTGTTTTTAACCTGGATTTGAACATTGTCAGAGTAGAAGCCTGTCTCATATTTTCAGGTAAACTGTTCCAGGTTGTAGCTGCATGAATCAGAAATGCTGCCTCCCCACGTTTAGTCCTGACTCTGGGACCAGCAGGAGGCCAGTCCCTGTGCTCCTCAGAGTTTGAGTTGGTTCATAAGGCATGTGTGCAGTAATGTGGTCGCTTTGGTCTCTTTCTGGTCTCTCTCTGGTCTCTCTCTGGTCTCTCTTTGGTCTCTCTCTGGTCTCTCCCTGGTCTCTCCCTGGTCTCTCTCTGGTCTCTCTTTGGTCTCTCTCTGGTCTCTTGCAGGTCTCTCTCTGGTCTCTCCCTGGTCTCTCTCTCTGGTCTTTCTTTGGTCTCTCTCTGGTCTCTTTCTGGTTTTTCTCTGGGCTGGTGCTATGAGAGGGGCTGGTGCTATGAGACTCGGGTGGCATCTCTGACTGCCACCCCCCTGCCCCAGAAATGGATTAAAGGGTAGAAAATGGATGGATGGATGGAAAAAGAGGCTGAATTACCCTTTTCACACAATCAACACACAACAAGACACAGGCCCAAACACTCTCCGACCACACACCCCTCTCCCACTTCTGCCCTCACTCCTCCTCATTCTTCATCCAGTGGAGAGAGAGTGGAGCCGCTCTCTCTGCATCAGTGAAGGCTGGTTCCCTTCAACGCAGCTCCCTCTAGAGGCCGCTCGTCGCCATTACAGCCCACTCTCCCCTGTGTAGCTCTGTAGCTGCTGATGCAAGCTGCCTGCTCACTGCTGTAGATGCTAAAAAACGTCAGATACTCACAACAAGCAGAGGACAGAAGCACGAGAGACCGGTGAGAGGGACCGGAGTGAGAGAGACCGGAGAGAGACAAGTATACATCTGTGTGTATGCATGTGTTCATATGGACTGCTAAGCTGGAGTCTGGCTGTGTCGTGTTGGGGAAACAGGAAAGTAGGAGTTCACTTATGGAGATAGATGGATGTATTGTGTGTGTGTTTGTGTGTGTGTGTGTGTGTCTGTTGGTTTAGACTGTAAATGAGGTCTTAAAGGTGGCACTTACATTGTACTTCATTCTCAAAGAAATATATATTTCTGACCATGGGGCACTGGGATGTTATATTTGATAATGGTACAGTTGTCTGCCTTTTAGAACAAAAGTATTGGTCATAAATTTGTTACTGCTCAATTCTATTCTACTTTACTCTACTCTACTCTACTCTACTCCAGTCTCTACTCTACTCTACACTACTCTACTTTACTCTAGTCTCTACTCTACTCTACTTTACTCTAGTCTCTACTCTACTCTACTCTAGTCTCTACTCTACTCTACTCTACTCTACACTACTCTACTTTACTCTAGTCTCTACACTACTCTACTTTACTCTAGTCTCTACTCTACTCTACTTTGCTCTAGTCTCTACTCTACTCTACTTTACTCTAGTCTCTACTCTACTCTACTTTACTCTACTCTACTCTACTCTACTCTACTCTACTCTACTCTACTCTACTCTACTCTACTCTACTCTACTCTCTCCTGATTTGGAAATGTTCCCCAGCCCTTTTTAACCACTGCCAGGTCCTTCTTTAGTCCCTCTTGGTCCTGGTTCTATCCAGGCCGAGCTGGTATTAAGTGTTCTAACTGACAGTGATCGGCCAAAGAGCCGCTGGAAGCCAGGGTCACCAAGGAATCTCTCTGGATACTGTTTTGTTGTGGGTGCTTTGCTACAGTAGGTCCCATTTAGTTTTGTCGTCTTCACTCACGCTTTTCATGAATCACGCAGCTGCGTGAAACATATTACATCCTATCGCCACTAGGTGGCAGGTTAAGTCCGCTTTAGCTCTGCCAGCGACTTAAACGCTCAGGTATAACTCTGCGTGCAAACGTTATTTGCCTAGTGATACTATGTTGGCCGAATGGTTTGAGTTGCAGGTTAGGATCCGGGGGATCTGGGTTAGATTCTTGTCTGAGGCAATTTTGGTTGCACACCTTTTGGTTGCTTGTGTGCAATTACGTAACGTTATCAGCTTGTTATCTTCTTTCCTTGTCAAAAGGATTTTTTGCTCACTTCGGGCCTATCAAAACGCGGTTTAAAGTCAAAGGATTGACTGTAAAACACTGTACTAACTTACTGTATTGTAAGTACTGTAACAATACAATTAGTAGTAGTAGTAAGTAATCTTTATTTATATACCACCTTTTTCACTGCACATCGGAGTCTCAAAGCGGTTTACAATTGTTATTTTTGGGAGCAGGGGTGCCAGTACAGGAGGCACATGCCAGACCTATTGTACATAATTTTAGTGGTAGGGGAAACCGGAGCACCAAGAGGAAACCTACGCAGACACAGGGAGAACATGCAAACTCCACTCAGAAAGGCCCTGGTCCAACTGGGATTCGAACCCAGGACCTTCTTGCTGAGAGGCGAGAGTGCTATCCACTCAGCCGCCGTGCCGCAAGTGTATTTTACTTTATTACTTATTTTTACTTCTTATTTTTTAATGAAAACACTTCTTCTCAAAAGTTCCTTTCTGACTTCTTCTACAGTATGGGATAGCCAGCAGCAAGTGCGTTATTGAACGTGAAACATTGGAACAAAACAAACACGAGTGTACACTGTATTCTGAATACTTTTACTTAGATTAGCAATATATAGGCTGTGTATAATTACAAAAATTTAAACTAGACATGTTACATATAGCTACCATTAATTAGGAATTCTAAAATGTACAGGAGTAGCAGATCATATGGCAAACATTTGCATTTGCATTTGCATTTTAAGCGTCCCGCACATACGCACGGCTCATTCACTCAGCGGTCTCTACTATTAGATCCAGTGTTTTCTCCAGCGCCTGTGTGGCGTAGCAGGATTGTCCAAGACTTTCGCTTGGACGATCGGGGTTCGAGCCCCGGCCAATCCTCAAATTTTATTAGCGGGGGGAGTATATGAATCAGATTACTCCGTTACTGAATAAAGTTGCATTTTTTTCCTGCAGTTTGGTTGGTGCAGATTGTGAAGTTTACAACAGTTTACTACAGTCTAGCAACTATTTTAAATGTGTTGGCCTAATTACTAAGTATTTTTTATTTAACACTGGAGAAGACGTGCTCGGTTTCAGGTGGGAGTTAAGAGGTTAAAAGCAGAAGATTTTCCGACAATGTTCCTAACCCTGCAAAGATAAAAAGCCAGTACAAAAGTGGAATAATTTTATCTTCATAACTTGGTGCTGATTGTGGAGTTGTATCAAAAGTCTTTAACTTGTACTCGAACCCAGGTCCTCCTGCGCCAAAGACTTGAGCTTTATGACTGGGTGTCATAAAGCTCAAGGTGGCACTGCTCACAAGTGCCACCTGGTGGTTTTTTGGGTTATTGCAGCATCACTGGGGAAAAAAATAATAAAAGACGCGTGTTTCACACGTGAGTCTCGTGCTATTCACGCGTGAAAGGCGACAAAACGAAATGGGACCTACTGTAGGATACAGTACCAGACATTGAGGCGTCATGGAAACACAACCAGGTAGAGTAGAGTAGAGTAGAGTAGGGCCAAGTAGAGCAGGGATAAGTAGGGCTAATGGAAATAGGGCGTCAGTTATAAGTCAGTCAATAGTTGCCTCTGCTCTTTTGTAGTTGGAGAAAAGCTGTAAAACTACAACTTTAAGTGAACTTTTTTCCGCTTTGAAGACGTTCCCAGGACTTGGACCCCCCGCCTGCTCCTACCACCTCCGCTAATGGGATTTCAAGTGTTCTTCTTCCCCATCTCTCCTGATCCTTCACAAACACAGCAGCAGCAGCAGCAGAGCACGGTGCTGTCTTCGGGATGACTCAGGACCGTATATGGTCTACCTACATTCCCCCGCGGAGTCCCTGCAAGGCTGTCGGCTCGGCTCCGAATCAAAGGCAGGAAGAGCCGGGAAAGACTATTCTAGCTCAGGTTGTGAAGGATCAAGTAGTGACTGCGCCGGGCCCCGAAGGAAAACCACTCTGCCAGAAAGAGGAGAGAGAGCAGAGACGTTAGAAAAGACAAAAGATTTACAGGGGAGTTATACACTTTATTAAGAGATCCTTTATTCGACCCACAGCGGGGAAATGTCAGTGTTGCATCAGTAGTTACAGGACGGAAGGAATGAGGAGCACACAGCACAAGATAAATGAACAATAACTCTATTATTAAATTGAAACGCTAGCATCATTTCGAAGCAAGAGTAAAATCTTTAGAAGCAATAGTTTAGCCCTCACTAATTAAAAGCTAGCTAAGTGTTTATTAGTGTATACTTCATGGTTAATTAGTTCTTAATTGGGATTTATTAAGCACTTATTAGTACACTATTAAACTAGTACTTATTCTACATGGCCTTATTCAACACTCCAACTAACTACTAACTGACACAATCCCATGTGGGTTAGCATTAGCATACTCGAATTAGCTGTAAATGAGTAAGGACTGTTCTAAAGTGTTACCATTTTTTCTCAGTTTAAGGCTAGCTAATCATATCTAAACAGGTCAAAGAGAGACCAGAGACAGGGATCAGAAAAATACAAGAGAGAGAGAGACTAGAGAGGAAGACCAGAGAGAGACCAGAGAGCGAGACCAGAGAGAGACCCGAGAGAGGCTTTAGTGAGGAACCAGACAGAGAGACCAGAAAGAGACCCGAGAGAGGCCATAGAGATAAACCAGACAGAGAGACCAGAAAGAGAGACTAGAAAGAGAACAGAAAGACCGGAGAGACCAGAGAGAGAAGCCAGAGAGAGAGGCCCGAGAGAGAGGCCCGAGAGAGAGACCCGAGAGAGAGACCCGGTAGAGAGACCCGAGAGAGAGAGACCAGAGAGAGAGATCATAGAGAGAGATCAGAAAGAGACCAGAAAGACCCGAGAGAGACCAGAGAGAGGCCAGAAAGAGGCCATAGAGAGAAACCAGACAGAGAGACCAAAGAGAGAGACTAGAAAGAGAACAGAAAGACCAGAGAGACCAGAGAGAGGCCAGAAAGAGAGACCCAAGAGAGAGACCCGAGAGAGAGACCCAAGAGAGACCCAAGAGACAGACCCAAGAGAGAAACCCGAGAGAGAGACCCGAGAGAGAGACCAGAGAGAGAGATCAGAGAAGCCAGAGAGAGACCCGAGAAAGAGACCCGAGAGAGAGACCCGAGAGAGAGACCCGAGAGAGACCCAAGAGACAGACCCGAGAGAGAGAGACCCGAGAGAGAGACCCGAGAGAAAGATCAGAACGAGAGATCAGAAAGACCCGAGAGAGACCAGCGAGAGGCCAGAGAGAGAACAGAGAGAGAGACCAGAGAGATCATAGAGCGAGACCCGAGGCCAGAAAGGGACCGGAAAGACACTTGAGAGAGCCCCGAGAGACCAGAGAGAGGGCACAATCTAACTTCCCACTTCTACCACTACTTTTTTTATTCTCTCGTTGATGTTTCAGGGCCTGTGAGGCTTTTCATATGATTAAAAGGAAACACGTGATGTAAAACCGTGCTTTAGTTTCATGGTAAATGACAGACGACAGTAATGGTTATTGTTCCTAAGTGCTGCAGCTGCTGTGGCTCGTCCGTCAGCCCAGAACAAAGCACCGGTGTCACTCTCTTCACGGAGACACAGACGAGCAGCTGTGTAACGTCTGCTGTACTCTCTCACTTCCCGTCATTTTTATTTAAACAAGAAATATCACCCATTATTACATGTTTGAGAAAAGGGTATGACATGCTATCTGCCTGCAACTCCCTCTGCTGCCACCAGAGGGAGATGACATTATTTTGTGTGTTTTCCCCAGATTTTCTAATTACCGGCTGCAAACACAGACATGAGATTGTAAGGAGCGTTGTTTGCCTTGAGAAATTGATCAAACTCATAAAGAGACGATTCAATCTGGAGAGAGTACACAGAGACAGGACATGCATTACACCCTAGACCCTGCTGCGGCACTTGGTCTGTGAAGATTATTGCTCCCTGATCTCTCTCTTGTCTTTCTCTGGTCTCTCTCTGGTCTCTCCCTGATCTCTCTCTTGTCTTTCTCTGGTCTCTCTCTGGTCTCTCCCTGATCTCTCTCTTGTCTTTCTCTGGTCTCTCTCTGGTCTCTCTCTCTTGGCCGTAATGTTTACTAACTTACTTACTTACTTACTTGTCCTAGCAGCACTCAATCTCTCTCTCTCTCTGCTCTCTCTCTGGTCAGTCTCTGGGGACTCTCTTTCTGGTCTCTCTCTCTGGTCTCAATCTTGCCTGTAACGACCCAGCATGCCTCACTCTCTCTCTGTTGTTGCAGATCTACACAGACTGGGCGAACCACTACCTGGCCAAGTCCGGCTGCCCGCGACTCATCAAGGACCTGAGCCAGGATGTGACGGACGGAGTGCTGCTGGCTCAGATCATCCAGATAATCGGTGAGAACCCCTCTGCTCTACACACCACTCCATCCACTGCCACTGCCACTTTATCCGTGGCCGGGTGGCAGTGGCAGCAGTCCGAGCAGAGACGCCCAGACTTCTCTCTCCACACACACTTCCTCCAGCTCATCTGGGGGAATCCTGAGGTGTTACTAGGCCAGGCACAAGCCATACTCTATTCTACTCTGCTCTAGTATTCTAGTAGTAGTTGCATTTAATAGTAGTAGTAGTAGTAGTAGTTGTTGCGGTAGCAGTAGTAGTAGGAGTAGCAGTACTAATAGTAGTAGCAGTAGTAGTAGCAGTAGTAGCATCACAGTAGTAGTAGTAGTAGTCACAGTAGTAGCAGTAGTTGCAACAGTAATAGCAGTAGTAGTAGTAGTAGTAGCGATTGTAGTAGTATAACCCGGTACTCAAAGCACAAGCTATCCATGTGAACATTTCCAGACAAGCGAGCACAAAACATCCCACATAAAGACTACAAACACGAATTTCTTCATAAGGCACCAGTAGTCTCCCCCTTCTCCCCCCTCATCTCCCCCACCTCCCTCCTCACCCCCCCCTTCTCTATTTCTCTCTCTCTCTCCATATATCTCCTGGTTGTCTCGTGCTCTGTGGTACCATGCCAGAGAGTCAGACCCTTTCCCTTGGCCCTACCCCCCCCCCTACATCTCTCTCTCCCTCTCCCTCTCCCTCTCTCTCTCTCTCTCTCTCTCTCTCTCTCCCACTGCTGCTCCTGTGCTTCGCTAAGTTTCTGTCGTTTTGTCTCTCGCAGCCAACGAGAAAGTGGAGGACATCCATGGGAACCCACGCAGCCACACGCAAATGGTAAGACAATATTACACATTACTCTACTTACACATTTGTCTGTGATGTCACGTGATGTTTCAAGTCAGAATCTAGTCCCTGTAGTCTCCCAGTCCCTGTGGGTCTAAGGTACAAGTTGGTACTTCTGATCTGTAGATGATACTTCACTTTTTGGTTTCATTAATACTGGTTTTCCAATACAAATACAGAATGATTGCATGTTTTTTTGAGTAAGAAAGAGCCCTGTGAGTCTCTATTTGACTCACAGGGATTTGGGCTGAGAGATGATTGGCCGAGTGAGGGGGGGTCCTCTCTGTTCCACTTTTCTGTCTGAAAAATATGATCCAAAGAGAAACCAGAAATGCAAAAAAGCTGGTGATAGAAGCAAAGTGTCAAACTAAATGAATATCATCCTTGTTCATTTTCACCCACTTTAGTCGTTCCTTTCTGAGCCGGGATATTTGGGACACAATCTAAATGTTAACACCTGTTCAGTCCTGGTTCAGTCCGAATTTAGACCGAGTTTAGACCTAGTTTAGACCTAGATTAGAGCTAGTTTAGACCTAGTTTAAAGCTAGGGTTAGACCTAGTTTAGAGCTAGTTTAGACCTAGTTTAAAGCTAGTTTAGAGCTAGTTTAGAGCTAGTTTAAAGCTAGTTTAGACCTAGTTTAGAGCTAGTTCAGACATAGTTTAAAGCTAGTTTAGAGCTAGTTTAGAGCTAGTTTAAAGCTAGTTTAGACCTAGTTTAGAGCTAGTTTAGACCTAGTTTAAAGCTAGTTTAGACCTAGTTTAAAGCTAGTTTAGACCTAGTTTAGACCTAGTTTAGACCTAGTTTAGACCTAGTTTAGACCTAGTTTAGAGCTAGTTTAGAGCTAGTTTAGAGCTAGTTTAGACCTAGTTTAGATCTAGTTTAAAGCTAGTTTAGAGCTAGTTTAAAGCTAGTTTAGACCTAGTTTAGACCTAGTTTAAAGCTAGTTTAGAGCTAGTTTAGAGCTAGTTTATACCTAGTTTAGACCTAGTTTAGACCTAGTTTAGACCTAGTTTAGAGCTAGTTTAGACCTAGTTTAAAGCTAGTTTAGACCTAGTTTAGACCTAGTTTAAAGCTAGTTTAGACCTAGTTTAGACCTAGTTTAAAGCTAGTTTAGAGCTAGTTTAGACCTAGTTTAGACCTAGTTTAGACCTAGTTTAGACCTAGTTTAGAGCTAGTTTAGAGCTAGTTTAGACCTAGTTTAAAGCTAGTTTAGACCTAGTTTAGACCTAGTTTAGACCTAGTTTAGACCTAGTTTAGACCTAGTTTAGTCTTGATTCAGTCCTGGTTTAATCCCTTTTTAATTGTTTTTTTATGACATAGTCTTGATAGGGGCATGGTGTGTGTGCAGGTGTGTGTGTGCATGTGTGTACGTGTGTGTGTGTGTGTCTGTGGTGTCTTCGTGTGTGTGTCTGTGGTGTCTTCGTGTGTGTGTGTGTGTCTGTGGTGTGTACGTGTGTTGCGCGTGTGTGTGTGTGCATGTGTGTACGTGTGTGTGTGTGGAGTTGTGCTACAGCGTTGTGGTGTGGTAAATGTGCCCAATACTCTGGTGACACATGTATATGTGTTTGACATATACATGTCAAACACATATTTTATTGTGAAACACAGAAAAACAAAGAACTTTTATTGTGAAAGAGGACAGTGGCTCCAGAGACAGAAACTGAACCGAACATGATCAGAGCCACTCTACACTATCTGATCCCCAATCCATTGAACCTACTCAAAACAAAAACAGGATCTGGGGACATTCCTGGGTCACCATGGCTTCCAGCAACACTCTGGTCAATCACTGTCAGTTAGAACACTTTAGGACCAGTTTGGCCTGGATAGAACCAGGACCAAGAGGGAGGGGCCACTCACAGCAGCTCATAGAAAGAGACCAGAGAGAGAGACAAGAGAGAGAGACCAAAGAGAGGGACCAGAGAGAGAGATCAGAGAGAGACCAGAGAATGAGTCAAGGGAGAGACCAAAGAGAGAGACCAGAGAGAGAGAGACCAATGTGAGATCAAAGAGAGAGATAAAATGAGAGAGACCAGAGAGAGAGAGACCTGAGACAGACCAGAAGGAGAGAGACCAGAGAGACAGAGGCCAGAGTGAGTCAAGAGAGAGAGACCAAAAAGAGAGAGATCAGAAAGAGAGACCAAAGAGAGATATCAGAGACAGACCAGAAGGAGAGAGGCCAGAGAGAGAGACCAAAGAGAAATGCTATACATGTGTTTGTACTGTGTGAAAATCTAAAAAGAGACTGTTTTGATTCTAACGTGTGATTTCGAAAAGAGTCACCTGCAGTAGATTGGACTCTCTTGTCCTGGTTCTAAACTCCTCCCTCTTCTGGTGTTGATGTTCGGAGAGACAGAAATAGCGATCGCGGAGCTCCTGGTGCGTTATGCCGAGTGGTAACACGTGTCAGCAGAAAGACAAACACATGAGCTCTCTCTTTTTCCCAAACACAACTATGTCAAAGAGTTTACCTGCACAAGAAGGAGCTGACCTCATTTACAAAGTTGTGCAAGCTCCAGCTCTCCTGTCAGACGAGACGGGACGAGAGAGAGAGAGAAGAGAGAGAGAAAGAGAGAGAGGGGAGAGAGAGAAAGAGAGAGAGGGGAGAGAGAGCAGAGAGAGAGAGGGCAAAGAGAGAGAAGGGAGAAAGCCGAGATAGAGCAGAGATAGAAAAAAGACAGGGAGAAGAGAGAATGAGCATAGAGAGAGAGAGAGAGAGAGAGAGAGAGTGCTGAGACTAGAGAGAGAGAGAGAGAGAGTGCTGAGAAAAGAGAGACTAGAGAGAGAGAGAGAGAGAGAGAGAGTGTGCTGAGACTAGAGAGAGACTAGAGAGAGAGAGAGTGCTGAGACTAGAGAGAGACTAGAGAGAGAGAGTGCTGAGAAAAGAGAGACTAGAGAGAGAGAGAGTGCTGAGACTAGAGAGAGAGAGCTGAGAAAAGAGAGACTAGAGAGAGTAGAGTGCTGAGAAAAGAGAGAGACTAGAGAGTGCTGAGAAAAGAGAGACTAGAGAGAGTAGTGGGAGCAGAGATGGAGTAGAGAGCAGAGAAGAGAGAGAGAGCAAGGAGGGAGAAGAGAAAGAGCAGAAGAGAGAGAGAGAGGAGAGATATAAAAAAGACAGAATGAGCATAGAGAGAGGAGAGAGTAGAGAGAGAGAGAGAGCAGAGATATAAAAAGACAGAGAATGAGCATAGAGAGAGGAGAGAGTAGAGAGAGAGAGAAGAGAGAGAGCGTAGATAGACAAGATAGTAAGTAGTAATGTAATGTTTATTTATATAGCGCATTTTACAGACTAAGGTCACCCAAAGCGCTTTACAATGTTCAGTATGGAGAGAGCACAGAGAGAGAGAGAGAGAGAGAGGGAGGAGAGAGCAGAGAGAGAGAGAAGAGAGCAGAGAGAGAGAAAGAGAGAGAGAGGGAGTGAGGAAGTAGAGAGCAGAGAGATAGAGGGAAAAAAGAGAGAGACGGGAGAAAGCCGAGAGAGAGAGCGGAGATAGAAAGAAGACAGGGAGAAGAGAGAATGAGCATAGAGAGAGAGGGCAGAGAGAGAGAGAAGAAAGCATAGAGAGAGTAGAGAGCAGAGAGAGAGAGTAGAGAGCAGAGAGAAAGAGAGTAGAGAGCAAACACACACATTGGCGAATCAAGCACTTTGTGAAGTCCTCTGAGACGCCTCGTGCAGCTGTGGCCTGAAACAAAATACTTCATAATTCCGGTTTCTCCAGGCTTCACTTGTCGGCATTTGACGCTTATCAAACTCCACATCTGCTCCAGCTGCTTCTCAGATCTTCTCTCCACAGAAATGAAGCCCAATAGGGAAGTGCTCATGGACAAAGTTTGTTACCGACTCGCTCTGGCTCACATTGACTTCTGTAGCTCAGTAGTAGCTCACTGGTCTCTTTCAGGTCTTTTTCTGGTCACTCCCTCTGGTCTCTCTCTGTCCCTCTATGCTCTCTCACTCTAGTCTTTCTCTGCTCTCTCCCTATCTGGTCTCTCTCTGGTCTCTCTCTGGTCTCTTTCTGGTTTCTCCCTGGTCTCTCTCTGGTCTCTTTCTGATCTTTCTCTGGTCTTTTTCTGGTCTCTCTCTGGTCTCTCTCTCTAGTCTTTCTCTCTGCTGTCTCTGGTCCTTCTCTGCACTCACTCTCTGGTCACTCTCTCTCTGGTCCCTCTCTCTCTCTGGTCACTCTCTCTCTGGTCACTCTCTCTCTGGTCTCTCTCTCTGGTCTCTCTCTCTAGTCTCCTCTCTCTCTCTGGTCTCTCTCTCTCTCGTCTCTCTCTCTATTGATTCTCAGGGTAAACTCCAGCCTCAGCAACACGTCTGCCCCTGTTACCGCTTAAAGCTAACGCTGTCGGAACAAATGCCCATATAAGGACGTCGGCTCCAGCTAGCTTAGGTTCGAATCCGCTTCTTCCACATTATGGCTAACACCGTGGTGATGTCGCACTCAGTCAGTTCACTCCTGGATATGAATCATCAGTGAATTGTTGTGTTGTAAGATACACAACGCAGAGCACATGGTCCGGCTCCGAATACTTTAGAGCCGGACCGGTTCTCAGACGCTCAGAGAATAAATGTGGTTTATGTTCAGAGGATTACAACAAAGTGTCAGCGTCAGGCAGAGTGTTTAGTCTGAGACCACACCGATTAAGAACTATGATTTAAAGTTAGTTTTCGGAGAGACCAGAAAGAGAGGGACCAGAGAGAGGGACCAGAGAGAGGGACCAGACCCCAGAGAACAGGTCCACATGTAATGACTGACCTCCTGCTGGGACTCTGAGGAGCACAGGGACTGGCCTCCTGCTGGGACGCTGAGGAGCACAGGGACTGGCCTCCTGCTCGGACTCTGAGGAACACAGGGACTGGCCTCCTGCTGGGACTCTGAGGAGCACAGGGACTGACCTCCTCAGTCAGAACTAAACATGGGGAGGCAGCGTTTAAGATTTGTGCAGCTAAATTCTGGATGAGTCTTCCTGAAAATGTGAGACAGGCCACTTCTCTGACAATCTGTGCTACGACTAAGGGACTTTATCTACATTCGTATTCATGCACTGTGACTTTATGATTTTTATGTTTTTTTCTTGTTACATGTGTATGAACTGTAGAGTAGAGTAGAGTAGAGTAGAGAGTAGAGTAGAGGTGAGGCTCTCTCTCTCTCTTTCTCTCTCTTTGGTCTCTCTTTAGGCTCTCTCTCTCTCTATTGTCTCTTTGGTCTCTACTCTGGTCTCTCCCTGGTCTCTCTCTGATCTTTCTCTTGTCTCTCTCTAATCTCTCTCTATTCTCTCTCTAATCTCTCTCTGGTCTCTCTCTCTCTTTGGTCTCTCTCTCTCGTCCCTGTCTTGTCCCTCTCTGGTCTCTTTCTGATCTTTCGCTCTGGTCTCTCTCTCTCTCTGGTCTCTCTCTGGTCTCTCTGGTATCTCTTCTCTCTCTCTGGTCTCTCTCTGGTCTCTCTCTCTCTCTGGTCTCTCTCTGGTCACTCTCTGGTATCTCTTCTCTCTCTCTTGTCTCTCTCTGGTCTATCTCTGGTCTCTCTCTGGTCTCTCTCTCTCTCTGGTCTCTCTCTGGTCACTCTCTGGTCTCTCTGGTATCTCTACTCTCTCTTTTGTCTCTCTCTGGTCTATCTCTGATCTCTCTCTGATCTCTCTCTGGTCACTCTCTGGTCCCTCTGGTCTCTCTCTGTTTAAAAGCATTACAATAGTGTTTTCTGCTTCTGACTCGTGAATGGCCGGTTCTGCATTCTCTCTCCACAAACACATTAGCAGCGCTTCTGCCTCATGTGCTTTAACGACGTCTCCGCTGGATCTCGTCCACTTGTGCCGGACGCAAACAGGAAGCGTGAGATATGGCAGATCGTCAGCGTTGGAAGCCTCCGCGGCCACAGACATGCTTCTGATTAGTCCAGCGGAGCCATAAAAACGGGACCAAACTCCATAGGAACAACACACAGCACTTTACGGGAGATTAAAGTAGCTATATGTAAGATTTTCTTGTCAAGTCATCAGGGCCCTAATCTGTCAAAAGGCATAAATAAAACATGGTCTTTTCTAATTATTCTTAACCTGATAACAGGAGTTCAGAGATATTTGTATCAAAATTAGTTTTACAGACCCTAAATCTTGTTATTGTTTTCATTTCGAAGTCCCGCCCTCCACCGTTTTATCAATTAGAAAGTCCATGATCCGTGTTTGTGGCTGCAGCACTATAAAAGGTCTCGTTAGGATTCTAAAATCATTAATGAGAAAATAAGGAATTAAACAAGGATTTCTATTGGGGATTTTGTGAAAAAGGTGTTAGTTATAGATTTGTTGTTGGCAAAACTCTTTTGCAGACTTTATGATTTTTATGTTTTTTTCTTGTTACATGTGTATGAACTGAGCTATACGGATAAACTGGCCTTGCTCAGTACAGTCAAATGTTCTTCTCCATAACCTTGTTGTGTGTGTGTGTGACAGACTCAGAATGTGGACACCTGCCTCAGTTTCCTCGACGCCAGAGGAGTGAATGTCCAGGGGCTGTCTGCTGAAGGCAAGTACCACTGCTCACAGGTTCTGGATCTATAA